CTCACTATCATTTTGACTTGCAGAGCTACGGTTTGCGGCAAGAAGCTAGAAATAAGCTATGGTTTTTAGCCAAGTAATTGAAATTAAGTTTAGAGAAAGTCGATTGAACAGCTTCTGTAGTAATTGGCCGTCATTTATCTATAATGGTTTGCAGGAGGTTGCGCATGAAACCGGTGTGAATCCTCTCGCTCTAACAATTCAAAAATCGAAGCTACGCAAGTTCCACCGAGCAACGTTATAGTAGCGGTACATAACCAAAGGACCCCAACAAAAGAAATTTTGCAATAATCCAACAGTTCATTAAAAAGATTCCAGTTTATACAGGGTACGACGAAGTGCTCTGAAGTTTTTAAAACCAAGCGATATTATTTGGCTAGGGAAAAGAAAGATTAATCGATTAAAAAAATGTTGCTAAATCTTTTCCTCAGTGTAACAAAAAACAAAACTTGCTGAACAGTCAAAAATGAATTCTAAAAATTTTAAGGTAATCTCTCTTGGAACCCGTAAAATTTTCTATGAAATGAGGTATCACTTGAATTTTTTTGTTGAGCCATTATTATGTGAATGTGATTATGCTATTGTAGTTTCGGTTCGGAAGAAGCCATCGCTGGTATAGTAGACTAAATTAAGGTTAATTAAGATTAATTAGTCACTGAGAGAAATGAAGAATAAAAATGTTTTTGCGTTTTCTCATGATAAATATTGTCCATTCTTTTCTCTATCGATCTACGAAAACTGATATTTTCATGATGAATAAAGAACGGACAGGAATTTTTTACTTATAGACCGGTGTTTGTTAAGTAATTAAATTTTGCCGTAGCCAAATAATGTCAATAAGCCAGAAACCCCTCGGAACATACACAATCCATTGTCCTCTACAAACTCGAAGGATTTGAGGAAAATCTAAATGAGGGGACTAGAGTGAGATGCGCTTAAGAAGAAAAGAGCGGTAAAACTTCTCCATTTTTATCAAAAGCTGACACAACGCAACATAACTGATCCCAAATTTGACACAATGAGAACAAGTAGTTTTTCCTATTTACGGATTGTTTTTTTTGTACCACTCGTCTCCTTCAAACTCTAACCACTTGCTCAAACATTTTATGAAGTCTTTGGCATATACTAGTTTTAACCAATTTTTCGGCAAGCCTTTCACACCGTAATATGCGCCCGCCAATTGGCCATAAATAGCTGCGGTAGTGTCTGTATCATCTCCCAAATTAACTGCATTCAGCACACCGGTTTCAAACGAGCCGCCATCGTAACAAAATGCCCACAAGGCTGCTTCTAACGCCGAGACGATGTAACCTTTGCCACGAATACCGTCTTCATAGCCTCTTTTCTTATCTCGAAACGAACCATCGGCAATTTCCTGTACTTCTGAGTGTAACCGAGCCTCATCATCTTTCCCAAACCAACCATTACTGCAGCAGTCGAGATAAAACTGCTTATCCAATAGTTTTTCTTTGGAGTACCCGAGCAGCGCACCAGTGATTAACGCGGAATAATATCGACATGCATCTTTAACTTTGGGATCTCCGTGTGTAATAAAACCCGATTCGCCTGCATACCGCACAGCGCATGGTGGGTCCCGAAAGAAAAATAGCGGTACTGGTGTCAAACGCATTAGAGCGCCATTGCCGCATACACCTTCTCTACTACATTGCAATTTCTGTTCAACATCAAATATCATTTGGTTTTTGTCATCAATTGCGTCCATTTGTTCGAATGGAATCTTGTGCTCTTGACTAAAGTCTTTCTGTTTCTTAATAAATGCACCTAACGATTCGCTAGTAGCATTGCCAATATCAAAACAGCGACCGGTTGACGACATATACCTAAACCAAGGAAAAATAATGAAAGATCCAAACTGTTGAAAACAGTAGGAGAAAGAGTCTTTTCAAATTACTAATTAACATAATGAAGATTCCTTTATTAAACATAGAGACATTTCCTACAGTTTTGAATCAGTGCAAGTTTTTTAAAAAATTCTATTCTCATGACTAAATAGAAAAAGCCAGAGATGAACAATTTAATGGTAGCATTAGTCTTCTACAGGTAAATAGCTTGTCATGTCAAACTAAAGAAATGTTTTCAGAAATGTTCACAATAGAAGTTTTTGAAACATACCCAGACTTCCACCACCACTTGTACCTCACTAACTGATCATAAGCATTATATCCTTGTTTCACAATCAAACTAATAGCTAGACAAAGAGCCATGGACGTGTCATCAGTCCATTGTCCAGCTGCCAAACCCCACGTACCGCCCCCAATCATATCAGTAATGGGATTGGACTGCATATAACTATATGGACGAAATTCGGTGCTAGCACCGAGCGCATCACCGATCGCCATGCCCAGCAGTGAGCCTGAAATTCGTTCAAAAATTATTTTCTTATGGCGTCGTTCTGGCGGCAATTTTGTATTTATATCAGCGGGTCGACGAATTTGGTTAGCTGGGTCAAATTTAGGGTCAAGCCAGGCTAAAAGTACATGCTTTTAGTTTATACACACTGGAAGTACAACAACTTCTCACCCTTTTCATGTTCAACAGTATAAATTGGGATGTTTGCTTGTGGTTCAGTATTAGTCAGTCGGTGTGGTTCAGGCCGCTGCGAACCTGATGGTCTGTGCTCTTTTATAAGGAAAAGAAAAGGGCATAAATAGTTGATGTATAAGAGCAAAAAGTTTAAATAAAGTGCGAGATAGAATTTTCAGTATATGAACGATGAAGATCGTTGCACTCAGAAGTTCGGCCACTGAATCATGTTCTTCATGATAGAGCTGCATCTCAATAAGAATAAGTTTTGGCTACTTATAATTTTTTACTTATAATTTTAATTTTAGTAATGAACATTACACGCAAAGGCCCTCTCACTAGGGGTCATAAGCTGATGATTATGCGAATGGTCTTAGTCATCAACCGTCTCCAGTTTCTGATATGAATGATCGACCGCTAGCTTCTACATTTCTCTTGTTGAGTAGATGTATTCTCTCTCTGCCTATCATAACACTCATTATTCTACTTAAAAGTTATGTATTTTTTAATAAAAAAATAAAGTTACTTATTTAAAAGTTACTTATTTCTTAATATATTTTATCTGTATTAAACTTACCAAAAACTGAATTATTGTTTCTTAGTTTAAGGCTGATGTCTAACAGTGTTTATAATAAAAAAACTGAATACATGCAGTTGATAGCCATTACCTGATATTTAAAATAGTCTTTACAACATGCGACAGTGGACACAGTCAATTAATCAAGATTCTGCTACATAAATGCAAGAACGTTACTGAGAAAGCTGAGATTTACATACTACAACACCGGAATAACATAGAATAAACATACATAATAAAAAAAAGAAAATCACACAAAGAGAAAGAGAAAACAAACAATGATGATGGAGCAAGAAACAAACACAACGATTTAAGCAAGGAATGAAAATAGAAAAAGCTAGAAGAACCTCAGATGTTTAAATAGAGCTCGTTTGAACTACTTAAGACCAAAGTTAGCGACGACTGTTCATGGAAAACGGCTCCACTCGGAACATATTTTTGTCAGGAAGGAAGAAATTACTTTAAGAGAGCAAGCAAGCAGCTCCCACCGACAGCAATTATTATTTCTGTTGGACATTGGGATTTTTAATGGCTTCAAAAGGCCAAAACAGGAGAGGGTACTTTTTCCGATTATGATCTTCTGAAAATTGGAATAAATGAAAATACTTATGTCTGGTGACTAAGTTTGATAATTTGAGTTTCTCAACAAGATCTTGGCTATCAGAAAACACTAATCGTTTGATAAAAGCAGCATCCATAAGTATGGACGCTGCTTTTATCGAACAATTAGCGTTTTCTAATTTATTGATTCTGAATCGATTTAATGGCTATTAGAACTATAATCTTTCAGCCGAGTTGCAATTAGTGTCAAGCCAGGCTAAAAGTACATGCTTTTAGTTTATACACACTGGAAGTACAACAATTTCTCACCCTTGTCATGTTCAACCGTATGAATTGCGATGCTTGATTGTGGTTGAGTTTTAGTCACTCGATGTGATTCAGACCGCTGCAAACTTGATGGTCTGTGCTCTTTTGTAAGAAAAAGAAAAGGGCATAAATAGTTGATGTATAAGAGCAAAAAGTTTAAATAAAATACGAGATAGAACTTTCAGCATATGAACGATGAAGATTGCACTCAAAAGGTCGGCCACTCATCATGTTCTTCATGATAGAGCTGCCTCTCAATAAGAATGAGCTTTGGCTACTTATAATTTCGATCTTAGTAATGAATATTACACGAAGAGGGTTTTAATAGTTTCAAAAGGCCAAAACGGGAGAAGGTACTTTTCGATTATGATCTTGTAAAAATAGGAATAAATGAAAATATTTACGTCTGGCGGCTAAGTTTGGTAATTTGAGTTTTTCAATGAGATCTTGGCTATCAGAAAACACTAATCGTTTGATAAAAGCAGCATTCATAAGTATGAACGCTGCTTTCATCAAATGATTAGTGTTTTCTAATTTATTGATTCTAAATCGATTTAATGGCTATCAGAACTATAATCTTTCAAAATTATTCTCGCTGCTAGTTTTTGTACTCATTCGATAGGAGCTAAATGTGACGAGACAGACTTATTCTTGATAACCGATAAAAAACAGCTTATACATTACTTCTAACACGTGTGATAAATGTTTTTCTAAAACGATTGAATTTATGCATATTTTCGTCAACGTGCGTAACAACACCAATGACTTATTTTTCTTTTAATAACATAATGATTAATGCAGCTCTTTTAAGTTCCATGCTTTATTTTATTAGTGATGTTTTGACCTTAGGCTCATTTAAAACATAAACTAAGTGTACGAAAAAATGAAAACACTTTTCTTATTCTTTTTACTACAATAACTGCTTTTCCATGTGGACAGAAACAAACAATTTTTCCATTAAAAACCTAGGATTTTACCTTCTCATTATATATGCGCATATATAAAAAACTAATAATTGCTTTGCCCCCATTCTCCTACTCTTTCTGTTCTGTATAGGTGAAAGTAATATACATTTTCTTCTGACGACATAAACAAAGGGAATATTAGTTAAGACAAGCACAATAGCAGAAGAAAGGAAATAACATGTGCGTGTGAATACAACATAAAACAAGTGAATAAAAAAAATACTATTAAAGAGCAAATATGTTATTCAAAAATTTAACTCAGCAATCCAGAATTAAATTGAAATAAAAAGATAAATTTAACAAAACGTTTACTTTTTCCACAGATATTCATCACAATAATCACTGATTCCCACTAAGAGCACATTCTTGAACTAATATAACGGATTGAATGTCAAGTTTTTTCTAGGACTAACCTACGGAAACTATAGCAAAAATTGAAAAGATTAATAATGAATTGAAACTCCGTTTGTTATATGTTCACCGGAGATTAGTTCTCTCATTTTGTTCCAGTACAAATGTAGTAGTTTGAACCAGTTTACACTCTTCTGAAGTGCATAGAATATTCAAATTTAGTTTGATTTAAACTTAAAGTGGATGAAAAGCAGGAAGCGTCAACGAAAAATTCTTATTTTTCTCAAAATATTTTCTGTTTGTTTGATCTTTGATCTTGTGAGAAGATTGTGGGAAAATTCTTAAAAATTAATGTATTTTTCTTTTGAGTCTTGTTTCATAACATAAATTAAACTAAACCAGCGCTAAAAGCGGTTGGGATAGTTTAAAAGCAGAAAGCAGTTGTTGAATTGAATTATTTCCAATGAAATCTATTGCCGAAATCTAAGTAATTACTAAGATTCATAACGAAAATTTCACTTTCTCCATCTGACTATTAGACAACCATTCCTCCTATGATATAATTGTTATAAGGAGAGGATGAAAGAAGCTCTACAATGTGCTTATTACATATGTTATGTTTTCACCATAGTTTCTTATGTATGTTATTAGTCATGTGGGATGCAGACGTACCTGGAGGTTTGACTTTATGATGGGGGCAAAAGCAACCCATCATGCTTTGAAGTACTAAAACAATTAAAACATTTTGAACATGTAAAAAAATATGTGGTGGAAAAAGAAAAATTATTTTGTTGACATATATAGCGTACATAGCAACACAAAACAAGGAGGAAAGTAAAAACAGTGACGAAATCAATCGAGTTGTCAGTACTTTCAAAATAATATTCTATAGAACTATAGAAAACATAGAAACGTTAGAAATACATATTATATGATATATATATATTTATCGAAAATATTGCGGATGTTTACCGAAAACATTTCCTACATGTTTTTTACTTCGGTTTTTTTCACTTATTACACAATAATTTGTTATTAGTATTCATTCCGTTAATAATGTTCTCGGGTAAGGAAAGAAACGAGAAAAAAAATCTCTCTTTACCTGCACAGAGGACGAGTGGTAGCAGTCAGCAAAATAGGGAGAGTATATTAAAAGAAAAATTAATTATTAAGATAACAAGTACAGTTTATCTACAATTCTATGCACTTTAGTACAATTTTTCTGAAGTTTAGAAACTGTGTGTGTGTGTTTATTTGCCAAATTTAAACATATAGCCGGTATCAAAGCTAACCGGGACTGAAGTTTAGAAACTGTACCTAACTACTAAATCACTGAAGCGTCCGAAATAGTCCGAGATAGTTTATAAATATTAATAACTCTCAACTTTTTTTCATCATTTTTTCAGCGGAAAACCGTTTATAAACCCATTTATGAATCAAAAATTTCTATTTATAACTATTTCGGATATTGCCCAAACCGTTTCCCATTCTTCACTGACTATAAAATTAGGCAGCTGAGTAAGCAGTAGTAGGGCTCTCCTCAACCATCTTACGTAAAGATTGAGCATGGAGAGATAACTGTTTTCAACGGTTTTCATATATTCTCAATAAATTGATACTTTCGCTGAAAGGCAAATAGAGACCAGGTGTGAAACACTATAATGGAGTCTTTCCGCTTGTATGTCGTTGGATCTATGTTCTTAAGAAAAGTGAATAACATCAGTGAAGAAGCACAGAACTGACAGTACATGGTTCGAATTCGTTCTTGACCGATGAAGTTTGGGTTGCGTTAATAAAGCGTCAAAATTTGTTTTTTTTAGTGGATGATAAAAGTGCGTTATCAGCATACTTTTCTTGTTACAAAAAATGTAAGGCCATAGAACGGATAAAATAATGTATTACATTGTCATTGAAAAAAAAATTGTGTTATGATGAAATAAAGATCAGAATGTCTTACGACGCACTAAAAATATATTCCATTACATCACGCTTCGCTATTTTCTTTCGATACTTTAATCTTTTTTAAACTAGTTTTCATCATGTTTTACTCGATATT